TATATATATTACATCAATAACTTAAGACAAGTTCAGGCATATATGGAGAACGAATTGGAGTGTGGGAATGACATACTTTTCAAACACATCATCACCAGAGATAATAAGATGAGCTACAGCAAGGAATGCAATGATAAGAACTGGAGCACTGAAAACCACGAATAAACTTCCTGAAACACACCATTAAACCTTGAGATAATAACTAAGCAAAGAATAAATAAAAATAAAAAGAAGAATGAAGTTACAAACAAACCTGTAACCCCAAAAAGAGATTCTCTGGTGGCATTAATTATTTTCTCAGCCAACTGATTACCAATTTCTCCAGGATACAGAAAAATAAGACCAACCCAAGCAATGAAAATCACCCACATTACAATCTTTAAAGTCCATTTCACAGATGATATTAAAAAAGATGATTTTTCGACATAATCAGGCTCAACTCCATCACTCAAAAGAAGAGGCTTGTTCAATGGGTTTGTGTCCATGGCAAAGAAAGCTTTTTACAAGAACTGCAAGAAGTATTCCTTAATCTTATCTCTGCTAAGAACTAACCACAAAGAATATATATACAAAAAAGAGTTTAAAAAAATCCAAACTTTGTGGAACCCATTTCCAGGCGTTTGTATACAAAGAAACTTACATGCAGAAATGGTTCAATATATGATCAGAAATGAATTGCCGCCAGAAAAAAGAACGAAAGGAAATGCTTTTTAGTCTCATACACATAAATACAGATGTAGACAGGTTGAAGGAACAAGCTAACTTGCTGGTATTTTACTCATTTACTTCCAAATTTCAACCTGATAGGTTTTTTGGTTAGAGTTTGGGACAAGTGTGAGCAAAAGCAGAAAAGGGTTGAAGCATTTGGGTATCATGATAAAGATTGGATAGACAGATTTTCACTACCACAAACTTTAAAAGAATATCAACCGCAAAAAAAAAGAAAAACTGAATTGACTTGAGTATTTCCTATGGCAAAGAAAGAACTTGCAAAAGAGAAAAAATTAAACTTTTCTGTGCAAAAGACATGAGCATGGTTGTCCAAATTCAGGTTCACAAAAATTTTGTGTGAAGCTGAGTGGCTTCCCTTTCTTTGTCCAAATCTTCATTCCGGACCCCAATAATGTCTGAGTGTAGTTTTCCATCAGAGTCATGGCATTCTCTTCAGAATGAAAGCTCCACTTAGCTATTTAAAAATGTTTAATCATGAACATTTCTTTATGCTTAAAGTGCCCATGTTTTATAAATTTTTAAAATTCATATTTTATTTAAAAAAATATTTTCATAATGATATCATAATCCATTAAAATAATATGTATTATCATAGTCCAATCTTTATCACTATTAACTTGGAAGTATGACTTCACGGATTCAAGGTTTTATTCCAGTACATTAGCTTTCTTTTTATGTATCTGATACAAAACAGTAAGATTTAGGTCAGGTGTCGGAGGGTTCCCTTTTGCTGGTGTTTTTCAAGGCTTAGGTTGAAGATGGTTCCAATATTATAATAAAAAGTAATTATTAAATTAAATTATTTTCAAAAATGAATCATATGTTTTCTCATATTCAGGTTAGACCTGTCAATTTCTTTCCGTCAATATTCAGGTTTTGGGTCATATTCTAATTGAAGCTTTACTAATTTTTGTCAATACAAAATTATGATAAAAAATAAAAATCACTATTAAAAACGAAAAAATTTTCTGACATTCTCGAAATGTCAGAAAATGCTATGAAAACATATTAATTTTTTAAAAATTTTAACATTTATCAATTCTTTAAAGATCTTAAATGTCTCTTAAAAAGATATATAATTATAAAAAGTCAAAACATCTAAACATTTGATTTATAAATTGTTGAATAATTTTTCTTTTAAAGAGAGTATAGTTCAATTTTTTTTTTAAATATAAAAAAAATTATGAAAAAGAATGTAAAAGAAAGAGAATCGAGAAAGGAGAAAAAGAACTAAAACCCAAAAATGCCTTTTAAACATAATAAAATACCAGAGACAGATGTTGAATGCAGAGCATCTATGTTGACAGAAATCAATAGAGTTTCGATAAAAACTAAAATTCAAGTGAAGAATAAAAACCCAATTGTCAAATTATATGTAATTTTCATGTAGCCAACAACAAGATTAGCCATCCCATTCTCATCTATATGTGGCTGGATTCATGATATCTATTACCGAATTTATTGCAAATCATATATGTAATTTTCCATATTTATGTCTTCAGGAGGATCAATTTCACCAGAATATAACGTCTACCACTAACAGTTTCTTCAAATATTCTGCAGGATTTTCATTACTGTGATGGTGATGGTGACATGAGCGATGGGCAAAGTTTGACAGGTTTAGAGCACCATATGACAGAGGGATGTATGGCCCAGGAGGTTGAAAACGAAGAGAGAAATCTTACCCACACCTTTAATTTCGACAAACAAAACAATATCATGTATGTCTACGCCTGTCAATCAAACATGGTGTTCATCAATTAATGTGACAAAAATTATTAATGCCTTACGATCAAAAGCAAGATTTAGATAAAATTTCTTGTGTGGGTTTGTAAGTTTCTCTATTAAGACACCAAACCATGTCACAGCTTGGTTCTTCTTAACATCTAGCATAACTAGGCTTAAATAAGTTTGGCTCATTCTCTACCATGGAAATACTACTTTTCTTTTTGATTCAAATGCATACGGCACAACCGGAGAACGCTTACCCTTCTTTTAACCTTTTAATCCCCGGTGAAGGCGGAAGTCGGATCTTTGATCTTTCATGCAATGCCTAATAGGGCTTCACCGAGTCTGCTGTTAAGAGAGAGGAGAGAACAGAAATATACAAATGAAGATATAAACTGAGATTACAAACCCCCCCATATACTTACAGTTGATTCGCTATTTATCTCATGTTCTTACATTCTCCTCAGGTCTACCAACTATTATTACTATTACTATCTAAGAAACGAACAAACAATAATGGATATGAGCATTATAATGGTTTTCCAATCAAAAATTACAGACAAGCAAACTACTCTATACTCTCTTCCTGAATTGCCAATGTTACAGAAAAATTATGTACCAAATGGCCAATGAATGGAAGAACTGGAGCCAGCAAAACAAGGAAATGCATGCAGGTATTAACACGACAAACTCGCAATTCTCTCACTCCTTAACTTGAATTTCGATGCTGCTTGTTTCCTTGTCATTCGTGTCCTTGCCATTCGTGTCCTTGCCATTCGTTTCCTTAGCATTTGTGTCTTTATGCTGGATTTCTGTATTCTGTCCCACGTTAGAGGGCTTCCCATCATTTACCCCATCACCACTACTCGGCTTTCCCTGTTTTGTTCGATAAATCTTATTAACAATCTTAGTTTAATACATTGATAAAATTTGTTATAATAAAAAGGATAGAAAGAAATCTCTCTGATTGCTCATTTCTAGGTTTTGCCAATTGTAAAGCCAGGACAGCAGGTTAATCAAGCCGAGCAATCATCCAATGAGTCCATAACTTATAACATTGTGAATGCCTCAAAACTAACCTTGTTCCTGTCACGCCAGCCAAGTCCAAATGGTCGAGAAAGTAAACTAATCTTTCGTGCAGGAATTTCTTGTTGGAGCTCTTGATTGCTGCGTGCTGGTGAATCTGGATTTGATGATCTGCAAGCTTACATTTATTAGAAGGGATAAATCCGTACAGAAGCATGAGATGCACAAAAATAAAATACAGGCTCACAACATCTTTTGCATATAGATAATGTGGCGACAATTAAAGCATTTTTTTCCAGTTCTTTGTTAAGTGTTGGTGGAAATAGGAGAAAGAATAAAAGGGGAAACTAGAATCAAGTATTGAAAAGAACATAGCTTTTAAATGGCATCACAAGAAATAGAAAAGACTAAAATCAGAGGAAAACAATAATTTATTAAGTCATCCACAACCCCACACCCCCCAACATATATATACACACTGCAAACAAAACCAAAAGTTTTCACCCAAGCATAAAAGATTTTGAATCGGCAAAGTTGACTACACACCGTGGAGAGGGTTGTGCTTTACTTTGTCCAGACTGGTACTGTAAGGTAGCCTCCAACATTGATTCTGCCATTACCACTCTTTTCTCCATTTCAGCAAGTGAAGCAATGGCATCTTCATACTTTTCCTGCATTAACCTAAAAGTTAAAGCCAAAAGCAGAGGTGCAAAGGGAACCGAACAAAATATACATATAATATTTGCATATTTTTCCTCAGACAAAGATATAAGAACTTAAACCAATGTTAGGTCCCTCGTTAGATTACTTGCGAGGTGAAAATTTTGATGGGGAAATGGGAAACAGCATGTTCTTTCAAAGTTTATAGGCTCTAGTACATTGACTAACATTGTTTTGTGTAAGTCCCAGAGTTCAGTTAATAACAGCTGGATAGGTGCCTAAAATATATTCTAGGCGACGATGATTTGGCACCAAAATCAAGAGACGCAATAAAGAAATTTGTTATGTGCTGCAGCATTTTTGGAAAAGATGATTTGTTTACAGTGATTAAAAGACCTGTAACTATCAAACCATTATCGTAAAGCCAGAAGGATATTATCATTAATTTCAAGTCAAGAACCAAGGGAAAAATTGCCGCCCACATATTTTGAAGAGCAATGTAAAATTACTGATGAAAGCTACATGGCAAAGCAAGAGCTATAATCATAAAGAGTACCTGAAGCACTTGAGCAGCATATCTTTGTGCTGCTGCATCTTGCTCAGCAAATCTGCGAGCATCTTCTGTTACCCTTTGCTCTTGCTCTACCCGCATTAGGACCTATGAAACGTGTAACAAATCTCATAATCTTCAAGACACGTACAACAACAGAAGGAGATAATCTTCCACTAATTAAACATGAAGAAAACTAATCAAACCTGAAGCATTGCATTTTCTTGTTCTTGCTTCTCAGCAAGTGCCTTACGAAGCTCAGCAACCTCTTGCTCTAATTGCTCCACCTAAAGATCAGAAGCAGATACTCAGCATGCAATATATTCCTCTGGTAAAAACATCTAGCAACTTTCAAGTCAGAATTAAAACACCAAACATAAAACATATAGATTCCTAGCCAACTGTCTACAATTATTCAGGCATGAGTCATGACAACCAGAAATACAGGTTTTCCGCAACTTCAATAATAACAATAATCAATTTCATACTCTGTAGTAGCTAGAAATAGAATGCACATCAAGAATCCAAAGAGCAGTTCCATAAAGAAGCCCAAGGTACCAGGTTAAAACAAGCATAAGAAGTTGCATGCATTGGAATGAAATGTAGTTTAATGCTGATCCTAAGAACAAGTTACAAAATCAATTATGAAATTTGGGCAAGGAAACATGGTAAACATTGCAAGAACAACAATTATATATTTTGTAGTCATGTCAAAGGAACTGCCACTAATGAAGATATTCTACTTTACCCTAGCACTTAATTGACGCCTATTATCCTGCTTAACCATCTCCATCAAAGCGGTCTCCAGCTCCTCAGATCTGATCCAAATGGGGAAGAAATTGTCAGTGCCAGATTTATCAAGGTGATTTTGGCATAAGAAAAGAGCTTCATTTAAAACAAAAAATCCTTAAGTTCCAGCATAAAATGCAAACATTAAGCAGTCAAATATATCCAATTTATAACCCATTGTAGTATAGCTAAGATATGTCTCAGTATAAAAGAGTTAAAGAGCATGTGAGGAACAGATCTGCAACCAACAATGAATATTACACTGCCTCTATTAAACAGCCTACAACAAACCGAGGATTGTAAATCTTGAAAACCATGGACATTATAAAAGTTTTTAACCTGAGGACAGCTGATCTTTTCTCTTCCAGCAATCTGCACAACTCAACCTTTAACCACACCAACTGCATTGCTTAAAAGAAATTAAGACTATGAGAACATCAACAGGTCATCAAAATCTCATGCATGAACACACGACAAGCAAAGAATATATTTGTGTACAATCTATAAGCTCCTAATCTCATCTACTTGCCAGTGCCTATAACTCCATATAAATCCAACAAGTAACATGCCCTCTAAACTTATGGTTTGGTGCACACAGTAATAGTGTGACTTATGTTAATCAAGGTGGAAAGTTTCAACATGTATGAAATGAATGCAACAAATCCACATGGAAAAACAAATGGATTTTGTCATTGAAAGTTAATATAACGTAGCAAAATAATAGTCGTCACATGAACTCCGAGTTCAATTTGATGATCATTTCCCTTGACAGAATTTGAAAATAATCTCTATATGGCTATAAGAATCTGACACTAGAATGTAAACTCGTGCCCACAATCTTGCATAGGCATGCAGCATGGTAAATAGAAGAATTGTTCAACTAACTAACCCATACATCCAACCAAATGTGATTGGCAACATAAATCCTTCTGAATCATTCTCTCATTATAAGGCAATATCTTCTGTTAAATCTTGGACCACAATATCCATATGGTCAATAATATATTGAAGCAGAAAAAACTCAGGATATAACATGAGAATACTTTACTTGAAATATCTATATATTTCTAATTTACAGTGCAAAACAAAACATGTATGTGGTCATGCAAAATGATTCCATTGTACTGGCTAAGGATCCAATATCCTCCACTGACAGACAGAATTTAACATTAAACAATGAAATATTATATTCATTGAAAGGGGAAAGGTATATGCCACCTGCTCTTGAAGATCAGTAACAGCATCCAACTCAGAATCTCCTGTCAGACTAATAAGAACTTCATCTGCATTAGTGGATCCAGACTCTGAACGAGAGAGATTCCCATTTGTTTGTGAGTCAACCAATCGTCCTGTCTTATTTGTTTCCATAAGCATTGACTTAGGATCATGCTTAAAATTATATAGCTTAGATGCCAGGCCGTGAGTATCCCTCCAAGCTTGAAGTCCCTTTGATCTTTCCTCAATTGCAGCTATTACAGCCGGACGATGCTTCTCTCTTAACTCATGCAACCTTTTTTCATTTACATTTTGGTAACCCATACAAGCTGTCAATACGAGTTGGCTGCTGTCAAATGTCGAGCCAGCTAATGACTGTAGTAAAGTAACTGCATCTCCCGCATCCTTAGTTGTAACCAGTGCAGGGCCTGAAAGAAAAATAAGTTACATTTTGTAGATTAGAATAGCTCATTTGTCACTATTTTCAGGCTTCAAGCACCCTAAAGATATCATAAAACTCAAAACACTCTTGTGTCTTTTACCCAGTACCATATAACTCCATTAAAGCAAGTCCTGTCCTAAAAAGCATAACGCGGTTCCCTTCATACAGTAGCACATCCCAGACTCGAAGCACTGTGAAGAGGAGAAATCCATCAGAAAGCTTGTAACTAAGCATTAAATATTCCAATTATTAACAGAGAAAGCACATCAATAAACTAGCAACAAAGGCCCCAATTATAAGAGAAACTTTCAAATACTGTGATAAATTAAGCAACTAGTTAAATATTGCTAAAAGACACAGCAAGAAACCTGACCACTTTCCCATGGAAGCATATTCATAAAAATGGAAAGGAACCACGGTCCAGTAACCCATGCCACCTGCACTCCCAGGTAATCTAGATGATTGACTGCAATAAAGATAAAAATGTCAATCAGGAGCTTCACAAAAAACTCAAAGGAAAGAGAACATCAGGGAAATTTCAAACACAAAAGAACAAATATTGTGAAAACAAACCCAGTTTGGGAAATCTCTCGTGCACCAACTCCTCAAAAACAAGTTGGTCAACCTAACAAAAGGCACAAGTTACTAGGATAGTTATTAAAGCATACTTATATCATCAACCACTTTAACATTCTCATTTAGAGAAAGCAGATAGTAGAAAATCAACCAACAAAAAGAAAGTGTTATGCAGAATAATTACCTGAGACTCAATCATTTCCTCTGAGTAATAGCCATCAAAATAGTCGTCAATAATGCCCATCAAAGCCCTGAAATTTATACCATAACTTAGAAGAACATAAAGCCAATAGACCAGTTATTTGTAAAAAATTAACGCTATCCTTGCTATTAAAAGATAGAGAATCCCACCAAATAAACAAGATAAGAAAACATGCAAATCATGTGCACAACAGAAATTAATTATATTCCAGCAACAAAATATGCTCTGATCTAAAACATTAAAAAGTTAATTTCACAAATAAAATGAGGAATATTGGTTTTGCAACAAATTTTCTCAACTCAGTCTCTGAACCTACCAGAAGGCATTTTCTTCAGGCATCAAGAGGAGTAACAAGGCAGCAAAGAAATTCATGGCCTGCATGAGAAAAATGCTTATCCCAAAAGGCCAAAATACTGCAAGCATGACCATAGCTAACATATATCTGAACCTAATACCTGACAGTATCCTACAGAGGGGTTATGTCGAGCATAGGCTGTAAGCAACCGTCTCAAAGCATTTCTACCATCATCATCCAGAGCAGGGTGACCTGGGAATGTTCGGGGCAAATCCTGTTTTTAGAGCAACTAATCAGTTAGGCAACTCAAATTAATAACACCATAGACAAAGATATAAAGGTAGCAGCAGCTGCCAATGAAACTACAATACAGAATTCAGAAAACAGCACATGGAATAACCTTCTCAATCTGCCCCTTCCATTTCTCAGGCCCTCCTATGGACTCTGTGGTTTGATCCTTACTATCTGTCTGCAAGCTCTGTTGTTCAGTGTTCTTGCCAGAGTTATTTTCATTAGCAAGCAGATCCTGGTAATATTTGTCCACTCGGCGTGTCTTTACACCAACAAAGGCTTGCCAAAGCTGAAATCACCAAGTTAGAGAGAGAGAGAGAGAGAGAGAGAGGAAAATCAAGAGAGAATTGACAGCACAACAGTGCACAAGTACCTCTCCCCTAAGAGCCATTGGCACTCCACCACGAACAAGAACTTCCAACTCTTCTTTCCAGGGAAATAAAGATTCTGTAGGAGCTGTATCCACAGCAGCAGCAGCACCTGTTGTGGTACTCGTGCTGTCACCTGTAGAGGCATCCTGAACTGGGTCAGACCTCTCTGCATCATAAAATTCATCCTCAGAATCCTCCTCTGATGCACCCTTTGGGAATCTAGCCTCATCAGTAGGAGTTAGCGGCTTCCCCCTACCCGTTTCTTGCTCATCTTTTAAACTGCCTTTCTTCTTTACACGAATACTCATCATATCTTCAATTGCTCGAAGGGATGGTCTAATTTCAGTCCATATTTGAATCCGATGAACTCTTTTCTCTGGAGCAGACTGTACCTTGTCTTTTTCTGTGTCATTCTCAGACAGACTAGCAGAACCAGGCTTCTTTTCACATAAATCATCTCCTTCAGCTTCCTTCTGTACTTCATTGTTCCCATCCTCCGCAGCTTCAGCCTGTGAGGCCTCCTTGCCTTCCTCTGATGATATCCCATTGACAGGCAATTGAGCAGACTCTGCTTGGCGTTCCAAGAAATCATTCCACCTATCTGATCTTTCCTCCTCTTCTTCCTAAAAAAGTCATGGGCGTAGACAGTATATAAACCTTTTATTCATCTTAGTCGAAATTATTTCCTTTTATCTCCCTTCAGTTGCCCATAGATTAGGCAAAGGAAATTAATTAAAGTTCTGAATCAAAGAGCTTGTTATCATTCAGGACTCATATCAGTGCAGAGAGAGAGTTTTGGAAAGAAAAAGAGAAAAGGGATTAAAAGAAATATGTTAGTCTTAACTGACGTTATTTGCTTAAGTTGTTTTATATTTTCAGAGAATAACTAAATGACACATTATCACCCATTTCAGTACTAAGTGAGAGAGTGAGACACATTACTCAATATCCACCAAGATATATAAGTTGGCACTTAATTATCCTTTTCTTCCTCCTCAGCAGCCAAAAGAAGGTGATGAGCATAAAATAAAAAGCAATATAAGCAGAAAACGGTCAAGAAAAATACCTTGTAGATATTAGCATATTCTCGGTATCTTTGCACATGCTGAGGTCTCACTGCAAATCCATACGCATCCCTGTCAACAATAGACGCTTTAATAACCCCAAAAAGTTCAACAAAATCTTCACATTAACAACAGAACATTCCACAAAAAATAGCTCAAAAGGTTCCACAACATTCTAAGCAAAATTAACTTAAATTATTTACAATCAGCCTCTGACAATCCCGGATTAACAAAACATTCTAAGCAACAATTAGCTTAAACGTAAAAATTACTTGCAATTCTAACCTAAACTTATTAAATTAGGAAATAAAATCTAGAGCAAGAACAAAGAAATATCAAACTAAAAGCCAAATAACATGTGTTTAATCGAAATACAACTCAAATTCACCTGCAATCAAACTCGAAAAATAGCCTACTTACAGTAGACAACAACATATCCTAGTTAAAACCTAAACTACTCTACTTTCCATTAACACTCATTTTGCACTCAATGTAAGCTCAATTTGCTCAAAAATCAAACCACATTCCATGAAAAAAAATCAACAAAAGATCACAGACTTCAACAACGTTCTCAGCAAAAGCTAAAGTAAATCACTGGCAACCCGCCACCACATTCCTTAATTCCTAAATTAAAAGTGCGATCAAATTCAATAAGATCTTGATCACGAAATCAATCACAAAAAATCTTACTCAGAAAAATCAAAATAAAAGCCGAAAAAAAGGAAATTCCATCGAAATCGGGCTTGAATTTACCTGCAATCGGCATCCAAAGATGGCCGAGTTACACTAGAAAACAACATATGCTCATATTTTTCCACTCAAATTTATTCACAAAAAAAAAAATTACATTTCACATTACAAGTCCAAATCAAGAATCCAATCTAATTTTCAGGAACCACGGACAAAAACTC